TCAAATCCATTCTGATCTATGACAATCCTTTCCAGGTAGAGAGTACTGGTTTACTATTCCCTTCTTTCTGGGGGCATCCCAGGATGGTGCAGTTTTTCCCAAGGCTACACAGGCTGGCTCTTCCCCTAGGAGATAAAATGGGGGATTGAACTGCCAAACCGTGGGTCCCCAGCCTAGTGCCTAAGCCACTGCATGATCCAGCAAGCACTTAGGCACAAGTGTATTTCCTTAAAATACAATACTGAAACTGTCCAAAGGCCAACTGAGGGGCTACACGATGCAGAAGAAGTTCCTGTCCAGCACTGGAGAATTGCTGGTGAAGACAATGCTTACTTGCTGGAGCAGTACCAGTAGACTTTAGGAAAGTTTTGTTGGAATTGATATCTGACTTGGCAATGCTCTGCCAGCAGTATCGGTGCTTGGAAATGTTACCTTTTAATGCTGTAACCCCCAGAATCCCCCAGCCATGCTGTGAGTTCTAATCTTAAGTTTTCCAAATTATATGTAGCATGGGAAGGAGAACAGGATATGTCAAGTGTGTTCAGCAGGATCCTGAGTCTACTTTGTTTCCCTAACATACTTCTTAATGGAGTCAGAGACTGCCATGAGTAATTCCTTCTCATTGACTACAAGAGAAGACTGGGGCAGAACAACAGCAGAAAAGTAGTGAGTAAATAATATTTAATTCATCCCACTCTGGTTGCAGGAAACTGACAGGGCTTAGGAAGTTGTGGTAGCCTGCCAAAAGATCTCCCTCCCCTCCATGGGGTTGCTCTTCTAGTTATACTAAAGAAGTAGTAAATTTGAAGTAAGGATTACTGACTTATTCCTGTCTGGATAAGGCCAGTATGTCTTCCCACAAATTTGATTCAAGACATGGTTGAAATGGTTAGGAACAATGTGGTTTTGGTGGCTTAGACACAGAGACGTGTGATGCAACTAACAGGAACCCATTATAAACCCAGAATCTTGAAGTTTTGCAGAACCGTCTTTATGCTTGAGTCACAAACCACCCACTTATATTTGTAACCCTGCCACCATGCAAACTGTATTTTACCACATGGACTGAACCATTGTTCAAAATTAGCACTCAAAACAAAAAGTGGCATATATTATATCTTTGGTCTCAGAGTTAATATTGAGGGAATTTGAAAACAACAAGAAGTGGTTATGATAATGCGAGCATTCTCAGCCTTTGCAAAATCCAGAAGCAGCCTTCTGTGCATATTCTCTTGAGCCCTCTGAACTAGTTCCCATGGTGCTTTATTTAAAGACAAAGAAAAACACCCTTTCAGTTTCCACCACAGTCTCAAAACAGGCTGTACAAGACTGGATGCAATAGTCACTTATGAGACCATACCACCAAATGTTTCCGGAATATACATTTCTGCCCTCAAATCAAAAGTAAGCTGTGTCATTCTGAGTGGGAAAACCACCGAAGGAACCTTTGCTAATGAAATGGCCCGAAGCAGTGGTTCCCAACCTCGAATCCCCAGATGTTCTTGGACTAAAACTCCCAGAAGCTTTCACCACCAGCTGTGCTGGCCAGGATTTCAGGGAGTTGTAGTCCAAGAACACTTGGAGACCCAAGGTTCAGAACCACTAGCCTAAAGGTTTGGTAAGATTGAAAGCCAGATCATTTTTTTTTTTAAAAAAAAGAAAAAGTTCTTATGCAAAACAAACAAATGGAATTCTCTCTGTTCTCTAACCTGGAGTAACTTGAAGTGGCTCCCACACTATGCAGAATGCGCACACTAGTGCAATCTTGTCACTACATGCTATGAAAATGGTTGTAGAGCGAGAGATAGCAGAGGACTTCTTTGGACTATAACTCCCAGAATATCTCCAGCTAGCAAGTACTGTACTTGCTCCCTCGTTGTGTAGAACTTGACACTAACCTTTTTTTTTCGGAGAGAGGTTATGGAGCTGCAGGTCCTGGAGATCCAGGGGAACCTTTAGCCGCCCTCTGCAAGAGTGTGGGAGATAAAAAGGCAGCATCATAAGAAGAGGCTTGGCTCAGAATCCAAATCCACATTCCAAACAGCAAGCAAGCATTGTTGCTCTGTGATTCTGCTTAGGTGGGCACTCTGTTCCATCATTCTGTATTTTCTGCTTAGGATTCAAATCAAGGGGTTACATGCCTGGACAAGGAAACAGATTACCATTGGGCTTCACTACACAAGACCATAATTCCTTATCTGGAAGCAGTGCACTTTAAGAGGAAACGACTGCCTACTTATTCTAAGCTTACCTCTATCTACATTTGGCTATTGTTGTTGTTGTTACTCCTACTCCTACTACCACTACTACTGCTTTGTAGCTGGCCATTTGAGAAATGGCATAGCCTTCCACTATATATTTAATGACTGAGCACATAATATTGAAAGATTCTTATGTCTGGAGGGACAATGTTGTAACAAGAGAAAATATGTATCTATCTTAAAACATGGTTGGTTATGTGTTAGAGAAATGGGTGCATCTCTTTTCTCCATGTCTATGTCAGATGATGGGGCCGTGTGGATGTGGGGGACCACCATCACAATTAGTGCAATTCTTTCTCTTTGTGGGGGTGGTCATGAAAATTGGGAACTTGCATGAGCAAGCTTTGTTATGGAGAGCTTTCTATATTATACAATATGTATGTATGTATGTATGTATGTATGTATGTATGTATGTATGTATGTATGTATGTTTTACTTATTGTTATGTTGAAGGAGGATGTTCATATCTTCAGATACAGAAGACTGTAGGCCTCATCAAAGCCAAAGACAAATTTCCTATGAAACCTTTTTGGGATAATGTATCCTCCCATCATAACCATAGCTCAGAGGAACAAAGCAGGGCTAAGTAAATACAGGTTCTCAGCTAGAGCTGAGTTTTAGCTTCTGTTAGAACACAGGCAGAACACTTCCTGGTTTCAATCCCAAATTTTGTAAGCCAGCATCCTGTTCAGTTTACCAGTGCATGTGGGTGGAAACGGGAAAGCAACTGGAAGGCTGGTACCCTGCCTGCTTGCACAACCGAGTAGGCAACGATCCATCCATCCATCCATCCATCCATCCATCCATCCATCCATCCATCCATCCATCCATCCATCCATCCATCCATCCATCCATCCATCCATCCATCCATCCATCCATCCCTTACATTTGTATCCCACCCCGCTATACTTTGCCATTATGTACTTCCATCTTTGCCAATGTGTACACAGGAAATGGATCAGGATACTGTCCATAGTAGACTGTGTGTTTCTTAAACCTGGGTTTGAAGAGCTTTACACTCAGTGTTACTTTTGACATTTCCACACAGGAGCAGGCAACACACATACATGAAGAGCTTTGAAATACTGGTGCTAGCTAGGCAGCTCCTAGGATCAATTTAGGAGGAGAAGCAGAAAGAACAATTCTATTCAAATCTACAGACCTTAGCCTGGAGTCTTTTATGGAGTTTTTGGTCAGATAGCCAAGGATGCTTTAATGCTGCAGTTGCACTTATCCTCCAGCTACATAGGAAAATAAACAAATGAACAAACATTTAGATACATAAAAGGGAAAAACAGACAGGGGCGGGGAGAAAGCATGCAATAAGTTCAGCATCGAAGGTGTTTGTATCTGAAATACTTTCAGGGGACCAGTGGCAGCAGAGGGGAAAGTTATGTATTAGATCAGTGGTTCTCAACCTTGGCTAACTCAGATGTTCTCAGACCACAGCTTCCAAAAACCCCAGCCAGCACAGCTGGTAGCGAAGGCTTCTCAGAGTTGCAGTCCAAGAACACCAAGTTTACCCAAGGTTGGGAACCACTGTATTAGATTACAGTTTCATTTTTTAAAAAGCAACAAGGAGGCAGTGCAATCCATCAGGTGTCTGCATCAGCTTCCCACAAGATATTTTCTTTCTGGTCCTGTTTGTTCCTCCTGAACGTGTATTTTGCAGTCCGGAATTTCCTCTCCCCTAAAATAGAGGGGAGCAATTTGGTTGAGGGGAGCAGTTTTTCAACCCAGGTTACACTCCCCTTTGGGTCCAAACCAGAAGTGGTCTAAAGTCCATTTGTGGCTTCAAACAAAACTTTATTTTTCAGTTATTTTAACAAAACTAAATGTTTGGGAGCCAAGCACCTTAGTTTAGCTGTGCTTTGTGTAGCAGGAGTCTACATGTATTAACTGTATTTTTCCAGGGATGGGCAACTCCAGAGTCTCTGTCAATCATAACAAAGATGGAAGAACCATATAAGGTCCTTGGGTTGCATGTTGGACAGCTCCACATTTAAGACTTGTTAAAGCTTAAGTATTTTTTTTTCCTGGAAATGCTGTTGTTGTTCTTCGTGTTGGCTTCTGGTGGCCAGAGACACAGCAAGATGAGAGTCATATAAGCATAACTGGAATATTATAATTCATGCACCATTATCAGGGATGAGAGGAATACTTGCTAAATTTATCATTCTTACCCATTTACACTGTCTTGACATGAGAAGAAACCTTGATGAGGAATTCTAAAGGCTTGTGAAATTTCCAGCCTCCAACTAGTCAAAGATTTCTACTTCCCTCTCAAGGTCTTTGTAATTTGTGCAACAAACAGCTATGATTTGACACATACAGTACATATAAAAAGGAAGTGTTATTTTCAGTCTTGGATGAGAGTAGAACTTAGTGGATTACCCTTTCTCCTTGATGAGAAGTTTAGAGATGAAGTCTTTCGCTTCCTCAGACACACCCGCAAACTCTTCATCTTCAAAGTCCCACTTGCAAGCAAGGATATTGTTCAAAGTTTCATTATCATCATCACCCAAAAAAGGAGACAACCCACTCAGGCTATAAGGAGGGAAAACCAGGCAAAAAAAATATTATATAGTATATAACTCATAGGGTAGTATCAACCTCACTTCTTGACTTAAGCAAAAACGTGTGTGTCAATTCTAGTAGTAACCTAAGGACAGGAGACAGATCTAGGCAACAGATTTATATTTTCAAAAGAGGGTAGGGGGATCAACTATAGCTTATTTCTGTGTTCCAGCCACTCTAGAAACAATCTTAGAGAGTGACACAGTGTGACACTCAATTCTTTGTCCTCATTGATTGAGTCTCAATTGACTCAAAGAAATGTATGAAAATCGCAATTCTTTTTTGCAACCCCCCCCCACACACACACACCTGGGTGATTTGCACAAAATTATTCTCCCTGTAATTCCTTGTTGTTCATGCAAGGAGACAAATATATCTTGTCCTCACTGACAAGGATGGGACAAGTAAAAATTTACATTTGTTGTTTTATATACTATTGGAAACTATCACAGTGCAAGGGAATTTGTGCTTTCTTGCACATTCCATCTTAAGACCCCTGACTATGCAGAATCCTCAGCTTCATCATCAGCTAACATTTTATTTCCTTTTGCCTTTGCTTTGTTTACCATAGCTAGATTAAGAGTTCTAGAGAGCTCCAAGATTTTCATATTTATTTTGTGACATTTGGATTGGACAAATAAAAATATTGCTCTGACAAGATGGATTTGGGATGTTCATCAAAGTAGCATCAATCAAAAAGGAAACACCACCTGATCATTTTGGTTTTAGCAATACTTACAGCATATAGGCAATGACTCCTACACTCCACATGTCAGTAGGAAAGGAGACGTAGTCATAGTTCACAACCTCAGGAGCAAGAAATTCTGGCGTGCCAAAGTTGACCTTCAATTTCTCCCTTGGTTTATATCTAATAAATAACCACAATTGAATACATATATATTTCACACGATCTATCTATCTATCTATCTATCTAGGAATACATATATATTTCACAAGCTCCATTCTGATAGATAGATAGATAAGATAGATAGATAGATTAGATAAAATAGATAGATTAGATAAAATAGATACCTAGATAGATAGATAGATAAAATAGACAGACAGACAGACAGACAGACAGACAGACAGACAGACAGACAGACAGACAGACAGACAGACAGACAGACAGACAGACAGACAGATAGATAGATAGATAGATATAGATAGATAGATAGATAGATAGATAGATAGATAGATAGATAGATAGATAGATAGATAGATAGATAGATAGAAAGTTTTCCTTACTATTATACAGGAGAAGAAAAACATTGTAGTTTTCATGTACTGTTATCAGCCCAGTGTTTGTATGATTTTGTCTTGCCCATGAAGGACAAGGGAACAGTCTTAAAAAGTATTTCAGCAGATATCTTGATTAACATGGAAATCTAAGAAGAATCTCAGAGAACAAAGTACGGTAACTGTTAAAACTGCTTTATGATTTTCCTTGTTGTTATGTGCCAGAAAGTCACCCCCAAGTTATCGTAACTCTATGGATGAGCTTTCTCGAAAATGTCCTGTCCCCAACAGCCCTGCTGAGCTCTTGCGAACCCAACCCTATGGCTTCCTTTAGGAAATCAATCTACCTTTTATTTGGTCTTCCTCTTTTCCTGCTGCCTCCTGTATTTCCCAGAATTACGATTTACCCCCAACTCTTAACACCTGATGTGAAGGAAGCCTCACAAACATCAGCTCATTGACTGTAATAAGGATCAGAATTAGAACATTATGTGGAAGGATTGCCTTAACTCTGATAATTTCTAGCAGTGTATTACAGTTGCTCTAGTGTCATTACAGCATCTTAGACTGAATTATTTGGAAAGAGACAGAATTCACTAGATTACTCTTCTGGTTTATTAAGGCATTTCCTACATGTGCTATTTGATTCAAGACTGGTCCTACCATTAGATAGATTTGAAGTGTTATGAAAGGCTATTTTTGGAAAAAAAATCACTTTGTAATTAATGATTTTTTTTTTTTTAATTCCCAGAAGTAGAGATAAGTGTTTATGGGCTTTTCTGCTTTCTGTGGCCAAATACCTTGGATGGTTTGGTGCATAGAGCACATCTTGACCTGGTTGAATTTGGGGGGTGGGGTGGGACATTTGTTGCTGTAGCTTAAAAAAAACATTTGCACTGCCCCTTGTATGATCTAAGTTGAAGGAGCATCTCTGTCTCAGGACAGTAGATCAGTGAGGTATTTTCTTGTTATTTCGGCTTTTATCCCAACATTTCATCAAAAGAAGGTAGATTTTACATTCAGAAAATCTGAAGTGCTGAATAGCTTGACTAAAGCAACATACCTCCTTGCCAACCCAAAGTCAATAATCTTTATTTGATTTGCTTGTCGATTCACACACAGGATATTCTCAGGCTGCCAGAAGAGAGAAGAGCACACATTTATGAGAAATGTTAAACAGAGTCAGCATTAAAAACACGACAACAACACAGCGCAAAAATATGCATCTCAGTGTAGAAGTCTCAAAACATGTTTGGCGGTATCGATACCTCAGACTATAATCATGTGGCATTTGGGGCTGGGAACTCTCTCCCAGTACAGCATTTCCCTCCCTGCGGCATTTCTGTTTGACATAATGCAGCAACTCAAGATAAAGAACTCATTAGTGAGCTTTCAGAAAGGGAATGCAGGCACTGTGACTGGACGTCCGGAAGTCGATGTTGTGATTTGCAGCCCATTATGAGCTGATGTGGGGACATTTAAGAAAATGTTTTCCACTGTTCTTTGAAATTTATCTTTCAACTTTAGACTTTTTAGGTCACTACTCTTCTCAGTTATACAAATATGAGGCAAAGTAACTGCAAGTGGTTCATAGAAGTGAAACTTACAGGTTCAATGTACGTATCTGGTGAGTTATCAAAGTTGTGTTCTCAGAGATTCTGAATTGTAGCCTAATAATTGACCCTATCCTTCAAATGTACCAACCTCAGCTGAGAGAATGCATACATTTACTTAAAGGGTAGCTACCTGAACTTTCAGGCTCTCATTCCTAGCACTTTTTTATAAATTGACATGTTATCAAATATATATATCTAGATTCTTGGTTACATCAAAAGCCTACATGTCATCAGAGTTACTCCTCCTCAGACACATCCATCTCCAAATGGAGAAAGCATCCACAGAAGAAACAGGATAGTTTCTCCTTCCTAAGCATGTTGATAACAACTGGGGATACAACAGCTGACTAGGCCTCCTGACTTGCATTAGACCAATCCATAGTTTAAAGATAAGTATACTTCTGAACCCCAGTGGACACTTCATTGAACCAAAATCAATATTAAAAGAATGAAAAGGTGACGTAAGCTACTACACGCCCATTTCTGTTCCAGCTTGGCATGTCCAATAATTAGATTTTTCTCTCGTATGTGAAACAATTCCTGCTGGTTCCAATCTTACCGAATTCAAAATAAACAGAATGTTAAAGTATTCATTCTCAATGAAAGTGACCATATTCTTTGGGTTCATTCAGTGAACTATTCAATGGAAGATGAGAGGAATTGTTTCAGTTTAAAGAAGAACAATACATTGTACACGGGTGTGTGTGTGTGTGTGCATGCATGCGCGCATGTACACACACTTATGCTGGTGTGTGCTGGCCATCTGCAGTGCTTGGTTCTGAAGCTCTTTCCGCACCCCACATACCTTCAGGTCTAAATGAAGAATATACATCTGATGCATGTGCTGAATCCCTTCACAGATCTGCTTGGTGAACAAGATGGTATCCATCTCTGTCAAGTTGCAGTTTTCATCAATAATTCGATCAAACAGTTCTCCTCCCTCCACACTGAAAAAGAATGAAAGATGTAATTCCAAATCAATTCTGCTGTGGGTTCCCACAGTCAAAAGAGTATGCATGCTGGGTACACACACCAAATGCATACAGGTGCACACAAAATCAATATAAATTCTAGGTAAGCCACCCCGAGTAGACGTTGTCTAGAGGGGCAGGATAAAAATCGAACAAATAAATAAATAAAAATAGAAATCTGAAACAAAAAGTTATCTCAATTTTTTTCCACGTTTTTCTTATGATTCCATATTAAAGACACAGAAGGCTGTAAAAGGTGGAGAAAGTAGGATCATCTGAGTAAATTTTGTTAGTTCAGTGCACACTGAAAATAACAGTAATCATAGATAGAGGGGTGAACAAAACACTGAGTAGTTGAACTTCTTGAATGATGGCCATCTTATCTGGTAAATTTTGTTAGTTCAGTGCACATTAAAAATAACAGTCACCATAGATAGAGGGGTGAACAGGACACTGAGTAGTGAACTTCTTGAATGATGGCCATCTTATCTTGATCTTCTTCACATACAGAGCCTTCACATAACTTTGCCGGTTATAATTAAAGGTATGAACATAACCTCCTTTGTACCTTCACTGAGGGCGTTAATCCTGCCTGTCCTATACTCTGCCATCTGCCTCTTTGACTGCAGTGAGGATCAGCCCTCTGAATGTACAAATGTATGAACACAGAGCACATTTGAACTTGTATGTTCTTGTATACAATTGTGTGACTATATGGGCAGCAGAGGCAATAACCAGTAGGAAGTTTCTCTCTTTTGTCTTGTCTGTCCTACTGTTCCCTTGTCTATACACTGGTAATCTCAGGCCTAGTTTTGCTTCTCCTCACATGTTTTCATGCATGCAGTCTTTGTATAAGTAGCCAATTAGAAGATGATAAATTTATCTTATTGGTTTTAAAAAGATGCTTCTTAGAAGAGATGCAAAAAACTTCTCTTTTCCATAGCTTGTGATTTTCTTCATCTACATGTCTTTCATTCAGCATGTTTGCATTTAGCAAATTGATTATTTGGTGATCTGAATGGACATTGGAAAGTAAAAATGGGCTTAATTTTCCTCGCTTAAGGAAGCAAACCATTTGCTGAACACGTACCTCTGAGGAAAGCCCACAGTGGGCTAATCACAGGGAATACACATTCCCATCAATGTCCAGTATGGCCCTTAATGAGGCCCTTAATCTCAGTCTTCTTAGCGAAACATGTAATTTCATAATAAATACTTTCTTTCTGTTTAAAAGCTGTCTTTGATTCAACCAGCTTCTATTCAAAGTCAGTGTGTGCAAGGAGGGGTTCACAGCAAATCAAAATCCCTCCCACATAAAGGAGTCAAATGAGTGTACATGGGTAGAGATTAGAACCCTTGTACGATTGCTGAGTGTGTGGCTGAAAGAGTTGTGGCTATAGTGTGTGACCCCGTCAACCCCTCATACTTTGTGTGGACATCATTTTGATGGGCAGGAGTCATTTTCATCCCACTACTGCAATTGAAATTAAAGGCCTCACTCAATAAAAGCTGGGGCAACTTGCTTTTCACTTTTTGAAGCCAACTGTTTCCAGATACATTGCTGTTATATTATGAATTGCTTGTGGTGGTTTACATGTTATTTTTTTCTTCATTGTGGTTTGACTGCTGGATTGCAACCAGTCTTCAGCTTTTGTAAAGACGGGGGGAAATCTTTAAAAGAAATCAATTCAAGAGGCATATAATAGTTGGCTTGTTAGTCATAACCGTAGAACTGTAGTCCTGAAGGTGTTTGTTCGATCAACATTAGCCACAGGTGAGAGATCCTTAACTGTTCTGTTTGCTGGGACACAGGTGAGGATGCTCTGATACCATCTGCCATAGACTGAAAGAGAAGGGTCCTTCTTTTCCTTTCATGGAATTCACCCCTTTGGAGAGAACTGCAAGCCTACAGGAATTCTGCCTTGTTCCAAAATAGCCCTGCCACTCCTTCCTTTCCATTTTTCCCTTCCAAGATCTTCAACTACCACGAAGAAAGGGCTCCAACACCAGTTCCCCTGGGAACACTGTCATGGTCATGGTGGTAAGACACAGCTCATGGTCCCAGTTTTAGAGCTCTGCAGTACAGCCTCCCTCTCGATACTCTCTGTGCAATCATATTGTTTTCCTTGATTTGAGAGGCCTTGCGTTGGAAAGTCAGCAGCACCCCATTCTCTGATATGTCGGGGCCAAAACTGAGACAAAAGGCAAATCTGTGCGATTTCACAGAGGCAGGATAGGGCAGGAGTGGGAATGGGGCCAGAACCAATTTGGGGCCAGCTGGGAATGGGGGAAATCTGAGTAAGTGGGTCCAGAATTCAGGTAGGAGTCAGCTAAGCAGGCAATATATCAATTTGGAGAAAGGGAAAAAAAACCTCGATAACATTTCATTAAAAGCCAAACAGAAGGCAACTGCCAACATTCCTGAAAGGGCTAGCATCCCTTGTGACGTGTAGGTGCACCACACATGACACAGGCGAAGATTTCTAGCCCTGTGCTGATGCTTCTGGGGCCTCTGCCTCAAAAAAGGCTTATAAGTTGTAATACTGGACCTCCACTCCATACCTTGCTCTGAATGCCACAATGGGCCCAAGTACATGTGCGCATCAACCAGCTTCTCTTTCCAGTCTACTTTCCTTGCTCCTGGATTTTAGGCACACCAAGACTGAACAAAACCTTAACACCACTTCACCTCACTTCCAACTCTCCTTCTTACATTTTTCCTTCTCCTGGAGAAGCATAACATTTCCCTTCAGCCAGGATCCTGAGACCTGACAACCTTATATGGGCCCCAAATATCACAAGTGACTTTTTAAAATCTTCTCTGGGCTCTAGAAATGGATTGTGGGACATTATGTGCTAAAACAATTAGCATCATTACATATACAGATGCGTATGATACGATATGTCCTTAGGTGTGTAGTCCATTTGAAACTGGATATACTCTACAACAAAGTGCATAATAACTGTTCTGCATTCACTCCAGAAGCAGGAAATTAACAGAGAACTGTTTTAACTATGGGTGAGCTACAGTACATAGTTAATGGTATGAATGGGCAAGAATTTCAGTTCAGTTCATTTTTTATCAGAACTTATCCAAATCTGCAAAATTCAGATATTAGAAAAAGTGAAACTGTCCTCAAGGGATGAGGGAAAACTTCATTTTAGTTGATTTTTAAAAGAAAACTATTGGAATTTTCAAACTGCACGAAACAGAAAGGTGAAAAAAGATGATTCGTTGTCTTTCAACACTGTGGAAAGCACAGTTAGAAAATGTGTGCTCTCTGAAGTATTGCTGGCTTCCAGTTCCCATCAGTCACATCCAGGAGGACCAGTGGTTCGGGATGCAGGAATTTGGAGCCCAACAAAAAATCAAAAGGCCAGGCCTGATGTAAAACCTGCAAACCGGATACACAGGAACATGAAGAATGCAGACCACTGCATTATTCTTGAGGATCTCCCTTACCTCCCGGTTTCTAGTCGTCTTGTATCACTGCTTCTAAACCACCTTGTATCCCAGTTTCTGGGGAAAAGGTGGGATAGAAATCAAAGCAATCAACACATCAATCAATCTGATGTGGATTGTTAGAATTTAGAAGAACTCCATTTCAACTTGCATCCTCTATGCTGCCATAGCACTTACACCTTGAGACAGGTCTGCAGAACTGGACATATGTTTGCTATAATTGGGAAGAAAAAGCCAAATATCATGTCCATTATGCAGATTGCAGATATAGTTTAAAAATAAAGGAAGCAGAAGATACATTAGATTGACACATACTATTCCATGACAAGGATGATGTCATTTTTCGATTCAAAAGCATCATACAACTGAATGAGGTTCACGTGGTCCAACTGATTCATTACGGTGATTTCATTCTTTACTTCATCCTGTGAGAAATGCAAAAATGACAGTAAGTCTGAGGAGAAATAGAGTATAGCTGCTGGCTCTATCATACTCTGTGTTTCCACTTGAAATGTGCTTATCTTTACTGGATTGTGGTGTTTGGAATAGCTTAGTAACAGCTGAGACATATTTTATATATTGTGACATTAATTCTGAGCTGATAGACAAAATCACACAAGGTACACAGTGGATGGAAACGTGTGACTAGTCTGTAACATTATGAGATGGAAAAACCATGATATTCAAGAAGGATCAGATAAATGATTGCCAAATTTCAGGTGATGATAAGACTGGTCCAGACTATCCTCAATAGCAAAGTACCTGCTTTGCATGCAGAAGGCCCCCCCAAGTTTGATCCCTGCTATCTCCCTGTTAAAAGTTCACTCAGTAGAATCCCCATCCTTGGTCCTAGTAAGCAGACTCGCCCATCCTATGGGTAGATGAGAAATAGGAAAGCTTCCTGAGAAGAGTCAAAACAAATCTAAAACGAATCTTTGATAAAATGTGTGTGTGTGTTTCTGTTTTGATAAAGACAAAATTCTGTGAAAAACAAATTACAGTAATAGAGATATATCTGTGAAGAGTCTCAGTCATCAAGGTGAAGTTCTCTGAAAGTTGAGTCATGGCAACTGGACTTCTTTCTTATTAGGTTGGAATGCTTCACTACGCATCCTAGTAGCTTCTTCAGTCTGATATATCCTCCACGTCGGTTTCACTTCTGCCTGGTCACTCCCCTCCCCCTCCATCCACTGTCCATCTAACGAGCCTATTCAGACCAGATGGAAGCGAAACAAACATGGAAGATATATCAGGGGTCTCCTACCAACTCTCCTCAGACTGAAGGAACTACTTGGAAATGTTTCAACTTAGTAAGAAAGAAGTCCTGATGCCATGACTCAACTTCCAGATAGTACTAGAGATAGTTTTCTTTTTCAAGAATAGTAGACTGAAAGAAATCAGAATTCACCAACTGGTTAATAGCTATGATTCGTAAGCAATTTAGCTCTGAGATATTGACCAAATTTTGAGATGTTCATGTTTCCCAGCTTCAGTGGGTTGGGAAATTCCCTCTCCTTCAGGGGAGTGACTCTTCCCACAAAGAGTGAGGTTTGCAGCTTGGGAATCTGCCTGGACCCGGATCTCACCATGGAAACCCAGGTGACATCTGTGGTCCGGGCAGCCCATTTCCATCTCTGGAGGTTTGCCCAGCTGCGCCCCTATCTAGACATGGGGGCTCTCACAATGCTGGCTCATGCCCTCGTAATCTCAAGAATAGACTATTGCAGTGCTGTCTACGTGGGGCTATCCTTGAGGCTGATGCGGAGACTTCAACTGGTCCAGAATTCAGCAGCCAGATTAATAACTAGGGTGAAGAAATTTCAGCACATCTCCTCCACTCTGGCCACCCTTCATTGGCTACCAGTTTGTTTCCGCTTTGACTTCAAGATTATAATGATAACATTTAAAGCGCTAAATAGTTTAGGACCTAGGTACCTATCAGAACACTTGCTCCCAGCAAGATCCGTCTCTAATACCCGTTCCTCACAGGCAGGGCGGTTGAGGGCCTTGACCCCGAAGGGGGCCCAGAGGGAAAGAACTAGAAACCGGGCCTTCTTGGTGGTTGCCCCCCACCTATGGAACAACCTGCTGACTGAGATTCGTTTGGCACCCTCGCTGGATGGATTCAAAACAGCATTGAAGACCTGGCTCTTCTGCCAGGCTTTCCCAGAGCACTAGGATCTTCCCCTCCCTTTTTAACTTTCTTTTTGCTATCCACTCCATCACCCTTTCCACCACCTTACTGCCATCTGTTTTAATTTCCTGATTTGTTATGTATTAACTTATTTTTATCGTGTTTTTAATTCCCCCCCCTCCTTATACTGTTGTTAGCCACCCTGACTGGCCTGGTTGCCAGATGGTGTGGGAAACAAACAAACAAATTACAACCCCTAGCCAATGTGCCATTTTGAACCTGTGAAAATTGACCTACAGAACTGGGATTCCAAAGTTAAAATGGGCATAAGTGGGACAGAAATATTTGTTTCTAGCTGGCTGAGTAAGTGCTCGACAGCTCCCAGTCCTACCTCCTCCACCCAGGGGCAGCACCCTGGCTTTCCTGCCCTACCTTCTTTGGGCACTGCCTCTAAGTGGGCATATGCCAGAAGAGGTGGGACTGGGAACACCTGTTTGGCTGGTAAATGAACCAGTACGAACCGCCAAAACTGTGGTTTGTGCCAATTTCTAGTATGCATAAAATCTACCAACAACAACTATAGTGTATGTGGCAGTCTGCAGAACAAATAGTTAGCACCTGAAAGGGCTTGTGAAAATGGAAGAAAAATTCTGGATAACGAAGCCCTGTATGCAAGTCATTGCTATTGTAAGAAGTACATTCACACTCTGGGTATCCTCACCTTTTCCTTTGCACCTCTGGCTTTTATTATTTTGGCTGCTAATTTGAGACCAGTTGCTTTTTCCTCACATTTATGGACCTGGCCAAATCGTCCCCTAGGAAAAGAAAAGAGAAAAACACTGTTGAATCCAGAACCCTTTTGGCTTTTTAATCACCTCTCTTTTGGAAGAAACACTGGAACCTTAAGATCATTTTTTTTTGGTCAGATCTAGAGCAAGTTCTTACTTGAAAAGGATTTATCAATGTCTACAGGAGAAAGCAATCAATGGCCATTAGAGGATTGCAATGGCTATATGTTACCTCCTGGATAAGAGACAGTCTGCAGGCACAGTCCAACAATTTATATGACTGTTTATAATTTCTGGTACCTCTTTTTTGGGGGGGAACTAGACTTCCTGAAATCTCTAAAAACCTTCTCTGTAGTGGCGCATGCATGTGCATTCTGCTGAACATACCTACCATGTTTCCTTGATCAGGACTCTGTTAGTAAGTTCAGCTGAACATGCATATAAGCCCCATTGCGGAGTTTCACTGCAAACATGCCAAGGTCTGCATGACTTCCAGGTGGAGCAGGGAAGGTGGGACCTCCCGAGGTCCCCACATCACCATCACACCTTCAGCTTACCCAGATTCTGATATAGCACCTGAACAAGGCTCATGGGTTACGCATGCTGAGGTTTTGCCCTGTGCCAAAGTTGCATGTTGGGGGGGGGACTCCTTTATTTGAAATATTGACATCAGCAATCTTTTTAGGGAAGGGATTGCTTTGTCTTTGTTCGTTTCTTCAGGGATTTACTAAGAAGCATTTTTGTTGCACTCACCCTCCCAAAACTTCACCCTTGTAGATATGATAAAAGCTATTGATCCCTGTCTTTTTTGCCAAGACAATCCGATGATCAAAAGGAGCCGGAGGTGGTGGGCTGTCATCTGCAAATAAGAAAACAGAGGGGGGGGCTGTTATTGTCACATACAATACTCAAGAGATATGTCTGTTGGGTAACATTAGCAGTACTCAACCTCTCACTCTCTTTTTTTTAAAGGATTAATGCTCCCTTCTGGAGCAAAATGTGGCAGTGTGTTCTAATGATCACATACTCTCTAGCTGTGATCTTAATGTGCTTATCAGGATGTGAACTGATGCTTCCATCCTCTTTTCCAACTACCTTTCAGAACCCTCTGTGCTCAAACACATTAAAAACTGGCAAAGTTTGGAAAAGTTACCTATTTGGACTACAACTTCCAGAATCCCAAGTCTGCATAACCACTAGATGTGCTACTGAGGAGCGCTCTGGGAGTTAAATGTTAGTCCCAGAAGTAATTTTTCCAAACTCTGGAAACAAGCAGGGACCAGAAAACAGTAGAGGGGCATCTTCTGGAGAGCCTCACTGCATTGTGCTGGGTACCATTTAGAGAGAGGCAATTACCAGACCTCCTATGTTTCAGACTCTATGTCTGCAGCACATTCATCGACATTCTTCTGAAACACCTGATTAGAAGCTCAAAGAAATGACCACAGTAATCACTCTAAAATATACTCCTTGAAAAAAGAATTAATTCAGTGTGCCTTGTGGTTCTTGGCTACACCACTGAATTTTCTTTGCCCTCCCATTATGCCAGAAATGTGAAACAAATTCTTCTGTCCCTACACCCTTACTACTGTATTTGCCTGATTTAGATTACATTAATGCATGAGACTTACATGCACATACAGTCTGGAGTCCCAGGCTCCAGAAATTCCCCAAACTAATAGGGAACTGAATCCTCTGGTGGCATTTCTGTCCCCGGTGGAGTCACACTGCATCCTCCTACAGCATCTCTAACTGGATGGTGGCACAATATGTACCATGGTCAGAAGCAGTTCTCCTAATCTTCTTACCATGCAAGACCTAGTCAGGCATTTCGAACATGTGATTAATAAATATGTGAGGAAGGGGAATGCTCTAGCTCCCTCCATGGTCATTTATGTTGCCATCTACATCTGGAGGACAAAGTTTAAGCTCTATCTGTGGAGGCTCAACATGTCCACAGGAATGATGGAAGATCTGCCTTCCAGATCAGATGGAGAGGATCTGCAGAAAAAGCAGCTTTCCTCTTCAGAGAATCACCCTTCAAGCATGCAGGGCAACAACAATGATGATGGAGCAGGGCTAGTGTGCTCTCCCTCTCGTGCATTCATTAAACACAGTCAGAACGCCTGAAGGGGGTTTATGGGAACTCCATATGACTGGTTGCCAGCAGCTGCTGGAAAATCTGAGGGAGTTATCAGATGTTGAAAGTAATTCATTACACAGCTCATTGCAAGACCTCTCAAAAGTAGCACATTACCATTTAATGCTGCATAAATTAGTACCTCACAATATCACTCATTATATTATTTCTACATTACCTATACCTTTACATCAGTGTTACTTTTTCATCCTTTTTTGCTCCTTTTTGGAAAAATAAGCCATCTAGAAAAAAAATTTAATGGCTTGAATTTAAAAAAAACAAAAAACCTCAAAGACCTCCCAAACAATTTAGCCCCTCAATGAGAAAGTAAAACAACAACAATTTCCACTATATTTTAAAAGCCATTTGTACCCTTTGCACTCTTTTTTTCTGTTGACTTCTTTTCATGTCCTTTACATTTGCTTGTTGTGGAATCCAGTTTCTTTGTTTCTTCTGATAAGGCAGGCTCTGCTTTGCTTGGTTTAGTCGTTTCTCTGGGTTTAGGTCCATCACTAGGCTTTCTTACATCAAAGCTGCTCTTTTTGCTGTTGTCTTTGACAAAACATCCCTCCTTCACATGACACTTACTGATGCTGGTCTGCTCATCCTTCAGGGGAAAGGAGGCCTTTCCATTGTCTTCACACCTATAGTACAACAAATGCATTGCCTGAACCATCTTGACAGCAAAGAGTATGTTGGAAAGGGGGGAAATCTATACTCAGATAATGAGAGAGAGTTTGCTACTTTTTAGCATTCATCACAGGCATAATTATACTACCAGGTGTAACTATAATACCCAAGTACAGCAGTGTGATACCACTTTTAAGTATTACAGCTTCATTACATGGAATCTTGGAATTCAGAGTTTGGTGAGGAACTTAGAATTACCTGTTTTAGGGCATACGCCCTACTGTCTTGACTAAAGCACTGAATTTTGTAGCTGTCATGAATTTATAAATCCCACAGGTCCATTCAGTGGAAGTTAACAGGGTATCAAGTTGCATAACCTTTAGTATAGATACACACACGTTCTTTAAGGCTCAGTGTTACTGCTGCTAGTGGTGGTGATGCTGCTGCTATAGAAGGCTCAAGAGTCATGATAGCCCACTCTGTGCTGTGTACCAAGAGGCACAACGGACCCAAACACATGCATGCAACTACCAATAGATACACTCATGCTTCATAACAAAAGTACATTTATTAATAGTAAACACTTTATCTGGTGAATTAAATAGGAAACACCTATACACTTTTGGATAAATTGTCAGATCAAGCGAGTTAGACTGAACCAGGACCTGCGGTAAAATCAGAACCATCCTGAAAATAAATGGAGGCCTTGTGCTTCCTATGCTCACTCAGTAAGGACCATAGTTTACTCAACATGTGTCTAGCATGAACTGTGGCATCCATTCCAGGATTCACAGTCCTTTCAAGGGAGTTGGCAGGGCAGAATGGAACCTCTTTCTACATCCCACAAATGTTTATGATACAGAAAAAGGAATTCTTCCCAACTAAAATATTAAGCATACTTCAAATGAATGTTCTTAAAGAATAATTTTATAGGTGGAAATAAAATTTGTGCTAAAAATTATTACAGCACCTGCTGAAGCCCAACCATGGGCCATAATACACATTATGTCAGATGGCACACAAATACACAATCACAAAGTTGGAAAGGTCATCTTATCTCCTGCTTGATGCAGGAAATAATGTCAGATGGCACACAAATACACAATCACAGAGTTGGAAAGGTTCTTGTAGGCCATCTTATCTCCTGCTTGATGCAGGAAATAGAGTTAGAGCATCTGTAACCGATGGTTGCCCATCTCCTACTTGAAACCCTCCAGTAAGAGTGTAGCGACCTCGGAAGGATAGAAGGCTGAGTCAACCTTGAGCCGGCTACCTGGGATTTGAACCCCAGGTTGTGAGCACAGTTTTAGCTGCAGTACAGTGATTTAACCACTGCGCCACAAGGCTCCTGCTCAGTAAGAGAGTATATACAGTACTACCACAAGATTTGTTTGGTTCTATTGTTGCATTTTTCTTAGTCACATGACATTTCTCTTAATGTTAAATGGAACAACTTGTACCTTAAATCATATCCAATCTTCTGGGAAGAAAAAAAAATAACTTAATGGGTATTTAAGTAGTGCTGTCATATTTTCCACACTCTTGCTCCTCAGTTTTCTTTTTCTCATGGTAAATGCATATCTAGCTCCCTCACCTTGTACCTTAAGTCATGTCCAATCTTCTGGGAAGGAAAAAAAATAATGGGTAATTAAGTAGTGCTGTCATATTTTCCACACTCTTGCTCCTCAGTTTTCTTTTTCTCATGGTAAATGCATATCTAGCTCCCTCAACTTTGCCTCATAGGAATTGTTCTCCATACTGCAGCACTGACCATCTTTGTTCACTTCCTCTGAATCCATTCCAAGCTGTATATATTCTACTTCAAGTATAGCCCCTAAAAATACTGATGGGGACTGACTTAAGTGAATTATATCTATATTTTTGATAAACATAACATAACAACAATTTTACTACTGTTTTTGGAGTTGTTATATAATGTGCATTTGCATGTCATAGATTCACTGAAATAAGCAATCTCCCTACAGTGTTAATGGACATGACAGTTTTTAGAACTCGGTTAACAAATAGCTTTATCTTATTATAAGGGTTCGATTATCTCCCCAATGTTATTTAAACATGACAGTTTTTAGAACTTGGTTAACAAATAGCTTTATCTTATTAATAAATATTTTACTCTGTAGATTATTACTCCTCAAGATCAAAATTTAGTGGGCTGGATAGCTCAGTGATCTAGATATCTGTGGAGCCAGAGGTTAGGAATCGGATTCTTTGCTGTATCTCACATGAATAGAGCCAGCGTGTATGGTCTTTGGGTTTACTGTAGGGTTACCAGGAATTGTAATACTGGCTGGTGTCTCAGACAAATGCTATGTTTTTCCAGATTTCCAGGTGGGGAGAAAAACCTCAGAGCAAATCATGCTGGAGAAGAAAGAAGATTGATTTGTGTGTGTGAAGTGACTTTAAAGCCAGGACACTTCTCTCTAGCCATTATCATTTGGCACCACGGCTTACTGGCTCAGTGAGAAGGTGTTTGTATGCATGTTGCAATTGTGTGTTCTGAAACTGTGCAACATTGGGACACCAAAATTTATGACTGATGGCAAGAGACTTAGGAGAGATTTGGTAGCTGCATGCATGTGTTTGGGTCCATTGTGCCTCTTGGTATACAGCAGAGAGTGGAGCACCACTATCATGACTCTTGAACCTCCTATAACAGCATCACCACCACCACCAGCAGCAGTAACACTGAGCCTCAAAGAACGTAACAAACCAAAAACTCCAGCATTTTGTAGTCTGCAGCAGCAGCAACTCATAGGGTCTGGATAAATGGTCTACTTGTTATGTATGCTGTAGGTATACATACAGTAATTGGTGCAGATGCTAGGCTAATTTTGCTACTTGCCCAAATGCCCCAAAACGTATTTTTTATTTGACTCTGGTTTGCCAGGTAATATGTAGTTACCTGAATAATATTTGCATTCTGGATTCATTTGCTTGGAATCCCACATTGCCATTTCCACAGTTAGTTAGCCCACAAGCAAGTCTGTCTGTTGCTTGTCCCATCTCCACAACTTCACAAGGATCTGCCCCTAGCTCTCAGGTTTTGACCCTGACATTCCAAGGAGTGGGATGTGGCAGACTCAGCAACCTAGTTTGCTGCCTTGTTTCTAGCCCAGTGTTCTATTACAATTTCAATTTGTCTTTTGCTTCACTCTCTGGAAAAAGATACAGTCATTTTAGTAGATGCCATGGGGTTATAAAATGGTACATTATTAATCACATATAGTGTATAGGATCAATGCTGCCGAGTTTAATTTCACATTTCCTGGTAACTCTGAACGTGATTTTAAAAAAGTGACAGAAACAAGTTGAATTGGAAACAAAAACTGTTTCAGTGAGTAATGGTTGTATTTAGGATTCCAGGATGTATATTCCTGCTTTTTCCGTTGGCCATAATTGCTGTTACTTCCCCCTACCCCGCAGGAATCAGGAAACATTCCATGTCTGCTAAAAAAATCCCCACTTCTGGCTGAGCTGTTTTTTTGGGAGGGATTTTCTACCATTTTCCCCAAAAGAATTTTTGTACCTGTGCAACAATTTGAGTGCCCTAGACCTTTTATCTAGAGCTGGTGAAGTGGACTTGTCCATGAAAACTCACATTAAAAAAATATAAAAGTTAATCTTTAAAGTGCCATCACGTTTTTGTCTTTTTCAGTTCTTTATTTGTATTTTGTTTTCACCTATAATTCAAAATGTGTGTTATCCAGTTTCCCAATAACCTATGGTGGCGTATTTTTAATTTATGAGACTGCAAGGTGATACACGTTTTTGTCTTTTTAAATTCTTTATTTGTATTTTGTTTTCACCTATAATTCAAAATTTGTGTTATCCAGTTTCCCAATAACCTATGGTGGCGTATTTTTAATATACGAGACTGCAAGGTGATACAACGATTAATAGGTAAGATATAACCCTAAACTATAAGATTTTGTAAAATGTTACAGTATCATTAAAAAAAATAGAAACTATAAACACTGACCCATTCAAAAGAAAAAATAGAACAGATTCTCAAGCTCTACATCTGAAAGTATTTGCAGTATTACTGTCAGCACATCAATTAATGAATGGTGGGACTTAAAGCCCCAGTTAGCAAATATTAATACATAGTACTGGAGAGTATGCAGGGGACGTGGTGGCACTGCGCGCTAAACCGCAGAAGCCTGTGCTGCAGGGTCAGAAGACCAAGCAGTCGTAAGATCAAATCCATGCGACGGAGTGAGTGCCCGTCGCTTGTCCCAGCTCCCGCCAACCTAGCGGTTCGAAAGCATTCAAATGCAAGTAGATAAATAGGGACCACCTCGGTGGGAAGGTAACAGCGTTCCGTGTCTAAGTCACACTGGCCATGTGACCACGGAAGATTGTCTTCGGACAAGACGCTGGCTCTATGGCTTGGAAACGGGGATGAGCACCGCCCCCTAGAGTCAAACATGACTGGACAAAAATTGTCAAGGGGAACCTTTACCTTCTACTGGAGAGTGTAACTGAATGAGGGCTGCATTACTTTCATTGGGAGACTCCAGCTGGAAGAACACCATTTTGAATGTTCCTCTCAAAAGAAGTTCCCTGCAATTTGAAAAGTGCCTCCGCATGAAATAGCTGGGTCAGAACTTCATTGCATTATGTGTTAATTGCTGTTTATTTAAATCCTGCTGGAAGTTTTTATCTAGGGAAGCATTTAAGAGTGGTGCCCCTTCTTCAGCCTGAAGTGGTACAATTTACTACCCTTTAATGTTTCTGAAAGTATATACCAGGCCAAACAGAAACTCAGTATAAGAATTGACTGGTAGTCTATGCCTCCTCATGGATTAACTCCCATGTCCTCCGGGGATATTTCCGGTTTCCAAAGATATAATGGGTTGGATATGCACTTTGGGGTGGCCTGGGCATTTTTGTGGTTATTTCTCATAATTCAAACAAACTGGGATATACTTATTCATTTAGTGAGACCAAGTGCCACTCCAAATGTGCAGGAATAAAAAAGAAACGGTAGTTAAATTGGTTTTATCAGAGGAATCAGAAGAAAGGCATTGTAATGTAGATATTTTTTATAAAAACTGCTAGATAGAAATTGGAAGTCTGGGATCGTATCAGGCCAAAATGAATGTACATACAAGGTCTTATATATTTTGGGAAGAGGCAAGCTAACTGTTAGGAGACAGAGTGAGGGGATAATATTCCCATCTTAGCATTTCAATGGAGGAAGTGTTTGAATAATGGAACAAACAATATCCAGCAATACAGCTACCAAGACACATACTGCCAGTGTATAAAAATGTGTTATTTGTGAATGTACTTTTTATAATACTATATTATACTTTATATACCACTACTGTATTATATGAACAATAAATAAACAAAAGAGTTAATTAAGTCTTCACAGAATTTTTTGTGTTTTGTCATCTCCAGGTCCAAATTTTCATCTGTTTTGGTTATTCAAAAGTGAGAGACTTCAATTATGTTATGCCAATACAGAGCTATATGTGACTTGTATCTGGAGATGGGGCTACCTCTGAACTATTCTCTGTGTTACTCCACTGCTGAGGAGTATTTGTTACTTGACGAACATTATAGTCCAATAAGCATAATGCTCTAGGAGAAACATGGAATAGGGTATGATGGAACATACTTGACATCTTGATCCTGGCTTTTTGATGGATTATCAACATCTGTTGTATCTTCACTTGGGGATATAGTTCCTTGTACTTCTTTTTCCTCATCCCTGCTTGTATCTGTTCCTTCAACATCCTTTCTTGCTTCCTCTAGGCTCTTTTCTGACTCTTCATGCTTCTTTACAAGGTCCAGAGCATCACTACTTGTCTCTGGGCCATTTTGTTTTCTGCTATCTTTCTTGGCGTTTATGTCTTCTGCCTGGCTCTTTCCCATGGTCTTCGGAAAATAAGTTTTCCTACTGCAGCTATGGCTTTCCTCTGTATTCTCCTTTGGCTCATGATGACAATGAGATTTAAGGGAGCTTCTTTGAAGAAGCAAAACATTCGCCTTCTCAGTATTCTCCTTGTTGAGTTTATGGACCTTTTCTGTGTGCGAATATGATTCCGACGTCTCCTCGGATTCTTCTGGAACCAAACAGAAAATACTAATGATTTCAATGAAGGGTGGACTTGCACAGTTAACCTCTTTTTTTTCAGTTGCTTATAGACTGGGTTCCTATTTTGAAAAAGCCAGGAGCCTTTTTAAAAAAAGATGTTCTAGTACCTGAGATAAGCGAAACGAATATTCCACCCACCAAAAGCCTATGTACATAATGTGGGAAGGCATTTTTGCTGTTCTTTTCCATCTCCTCCCTTTTCTTTCCACTAATGTTAAATTAAACAGGAAGACTGATGTGGCATGATTTCATTCTGCATTTCCCCACCCCTGCTTCCCTTCATTCTTCATGCTTGCAGATCGCAGTGAAATTCTGGGCTCAGTGTCACATCATGCATCTTGTTTAATTAACAGTACAAAGCTCTGCATGTCTATTCAGAAGTGCCCTGTATTTTGTGCACTCCAACACAGATATAGATTGTTGTAAGAAGTTACTTTCTTTGGTATGGAAACCATAATGAGGTCAGATTTCAAAATTAGCATAATTAGTGTGAATAATGTCTGTTTATTGGCATAGCAAGGTCCATTTAAAATTTTTTAAGGAATACTTTTTAAGGGCACATTGCAGATAACATGTAGCCAGTGCTAACCCACATCTTCTTTAATCTCTTCCTGATAACATTCAGACTCTGAACCCAACCTTGCAATGTTACTTTCTAAAAGTAATTCATCTCCATTGCTCATCATAGTTTTTTGAAAATGACTTCTTGTTGCAGTGTCAGAAGTCTGCAACATTTTAGAAGTGTGCATGTTTCTATTTTCAAATTAACAGCTCCCAGAAATCCTCAGGAAGCATGGCCAGTGGCTACTGCCCGAGAGGCAATAGCATGTCTCTTCGATTTCAAGGAAAGTAAGAGGGGTCCTGTTGTGAAGTTACTCAGAAGGAAGCAGAAGAAGCCACGTGAAGCATTAGTTAAAGAAAATTCCCAAATCCAGCAAGATTTCGGAGGCCAATTATTTTTGCTTTACATTTTGTACGTGCTTGGGTATAGAACATGCAATATACGTACAGTCACCTTGAAATCTTTAGTATAAGATTAATTATTTTTGTTAATCTTCCCCACTCAGAAAACATTTATTCCTGGTTGAAATGAGCAATAAAAGCAATTTATCCCCACTTTCAGTCAATCAAATGACTAGCTGAATTAGAAAGGGGCTTCTGAGTTTACTGCACCCAGGGCTTTTTCCATACTGTAAGTTCAGTTATCTGCTGTACTGTACTTCCGTGCTCCATTCCACTTTGATAACAAATTTAAGCCTAAATTTCCTTTGCAGTGAACAAAGCCATCTATACACAAACAGCCTCTAAGAACAGATAAGTAACTGGATGCAATCTAGATAATTCCGTCTCAAAATATTTAAATGTCTATTGAACAATAATTCTAATGTGTTTCAGCAAAGTACCTGATCTGTCTACAAGAATACATTTAGACAGTGGCGGCATAAACGTTCGCACAGGCCTGATGTGCAAAAGGCCAGGGCTGAGAAATTCCCTCCCATAATGTCCCTGGGTCAATGAATGTCCCTCCATCCCTAAAATGGGTCTCTCTCTATGGAACAAACCTTGATGAACAGTAACATCAATGTTTTAGATTACTAACCTGAGGAATCAGGTGGTTTCTTCTTCCTTATTAAAGATTTTGTTCCCTTTGCAGTCAGATATGACTTTTCCTATGCGGGGGGAAAACAAGCAAATGTTTTAGAACTTTAATCAAAAATTTATGACATATTTCATTTGCAAAGCTTTAAATTTCTTTTTATGAACACAAATTTGCCATGACTTCTCATCAAAACCGGACTTGGTTAATATCTGTAATTTTTTCCCTTTTTCCACTTCTATGAAATAGCAATGACTGTTTATTTCAAATTAGTTTCTTCTTTTGAACCTCTAGTCCTTGTGAACCATGCTTTGACAGCCCATTTGCTTCTCAGCCACATTTCTTTATTTATTCTTGCTTGAAAAAAAATGTTTTAAGTCTGTGCAATGCAAAGCCCTGCTGGCAAGTGAGGTTAACAAAAATCCAGTCTTCCCCTGTGCTGTCAAGTTGGAACTGGCTTATAGCAATCCTAATAAGGGCTTTCAAGGTAGGTGAGATATTGAAGGATTGGTTTTACCAGTTCCTCTCCCCAGTGAGTTTCCATCGCCAAATGGGATTTAAATCCTGTTCTCCAGAATCCTAGTTCATAACTCTATCCAGTACACCATACTGGGAATTAATCTTGTCCCTACAATAGTTATATTTTGTCCTGATTTATAGTGGTGATTTTTTTTAAAATAATCCCCCCAGATTTCTCAGACAACATGGTCCGCCCTTAGGGATTACAGGAGTTGTCGTCTCAAACACTTTATTCCAAAGTTTACAACATTTTCAATAATACTTTTATTATGTATCTTCTGTTTCACCCCAGTACCCATCCTAATGGACCTCAACATACTATTAGGCATTTTTGGCCTGAAATCCCCAACATAGCCAATGACGAGGAGTTATGGTTTTGGCCTTTGGGAGTTTTCCCAGTTGTTCCTGTTGTTGTTATGTGCCATTAAGCCACATCTGGCATACAGTATGGCTTATAGCACATCACTATTATGGCATTATTGGCCTAAACACAACCCACACTTGACCCATTGAATCAATGGCATTTCCTTAAGTGTTGACTTACAACAATAATGATGTCAAACAAATTAATCAATAATCAGATCAAAATGCTCATGAACAACCAGTACATCATAACCATTTAGGTAATAAATGTTTGGGACAAGGAGATTCAGATGTGACTTTTTTCAAGTCTTCTTAGTATTTCAGCCTTATTGTAAATATTTACTTAGAGATAAGACTACCACTGAGAGAAAACTAAAAAAGCAGCACTTGAAATAACAATATACTATATACTATTACAGAACAATTACACATTTACTTTCTGAGTACAGTATATGCTATGCTGTATTAAGTACTACTTTTTCTATAGTCTCCAGTGTCACAGTGACATCTAGAGGAAAATCTACCCCCTACAAAGGCTGCATCTAAATTTGGAGTAGGAATGTGAATACAGTAATATTAATTCCTTGTTCTCATCAATTTAGGCTATCTCAACACAATGAGACATTTTGATGAGAAATTTCAATACCTCATTGCCTTCGGCACAAGAATGAGACTATTCCCCTCCCTCCCCCAATCAGTGTTTCTATAATTTGAAAATGTCTTCTGTAGCAATCTGCAAAAACGGGCTGCCCTTACTCTTGAATACTGACACATACACACCAACACAGAAGGTCTAGCCGATTGTTTATAAAGATTCTGACAAGCTATCCTATGTTTCTCGTTTTTAAAAGTCCATACAACAAGGCTGTGGCTGGTGTAGTTTTGTGCCATCTTTGCAAAGTGCATAAATTATGGAATCTGCACAATTTATATGGATTTGTAAAAATGTTTTTGCCAGTGCACAAACTCTTAATGACAGTAGCAGAAAATACCTTGCCCTCTCCTGGGCAAGGAAAAAAATGCCGTAATTCCTCATGTGAGGACAAGACAAACAATGATTTACATCTATAACTCAAAGGGAATAAGGAAGCAGGAGAGATTTAGCAGGGAGCCTCACCATCCTTCATAATCAAACTGAGCTGGCAATTCAGTTTTGTGGACCCTGTCTCCAATACGCTTTGATCTGTTCTACTGAAAAGCTGCTTAGCCACATCACAGCATAACAACAGGACACCTCAAGGGAGCCTATCCATGTAATGATTTACAAACAAGGAAAATTCAGGGGTGGCAGCTTGGGCAGAACACTGTTTCCCTGCCTGTGCCCATAAGCCATTCCACAAATACTAAACATGCAACAACTGGTCCTAATTGTTAATGGGCAAAAGTCTGTTTATGTAAAGTTACGTGTCTGAAGCTGATGATGTTATCAGCTGCCACCAGTAGCCTTTAATTTTAACTAATTTAAATTAATTTAATTTTAGTTTAAACTAATCCAAAGTCCTTATCTCCCCATTTTAGTTTCTGGGGCTTCTTTCTGCCAGATCTGGAGGCATTTCTAAAAAAAAAAAAACCATTTAAATACTTCCTCCTGTCCCCATCCCAAGGCTTCCAGAGGCCTCCCCAAGACAAAAAGGATTGGGGGGGGGTAGAGAAAAGGAAGTTGTGATGCCAGCTGATTATGTCATTAGCTCCTGCCATGTAACTTTACGCAAACAAGATTGTGGCCACTGACTCTTAAACCACAATATGATGCTTTCATATTAACAATAATGATCTTAGAATTATTGAGCTGGAAAGGACCCCATGGATTATTGAGTCCAGCCCATCAGGGAGGCATAATGGGGAAATTAACTCCCAACCTCTGCCTCCATAGCCTAACCACTCAGTTTAGAACATCGTTATTTGTACAATAATGGCAATATCCTTGTGCTTGGAAAGCTCGTATATCGACGAGAAAGCTAGACTCGAACTGTTCTTCTTGACATCTTGGTTTTCTATGTCATTTTGTTCTCGGTGACTGCTCCCACTTGACCCTTCTGCTGCTGTTCTCTGGTTGGTGGGCAAAGTCTTTTCTTTCTGGATCAGACAACTGTGCTTCACTGTGGGATGCTGTAAGCTTTTACCACTCTTTACTATTTAAATTTTTTTATATTAACAGCCCTTTAAAATTGTTATCTGTATGTTTTTTTAAAAATATATATAACTTATTTCTTTTTTAATTGTGATTTTAGTTGTACACATTTCAATTGTTGGTGAGCCACCTTAGGTCCCTACACTGGGAGAAAAGTGACATAGGAATGAAACAAAGAAAGAAAATACAAATGTAGATAATTTTCATGTTGGAGCAGTCAACCATGTGAGCTCCCACATGCAGTCCAAAGTGGTAGAGTCCAGATTCAGGTTTCTCTGCTCATTTGCTGTCTGTAATTATTATGCCTTCCTCTCATCTATGCCTTCCTCTAATCTAGGTTTTCAAAACTTTCGGGCCCGAGTTTGTGCTGGACTATAACTCCCAGTATCCCTAGCCAGCATGAAGAGGGTTGGGATGTTTGCAATCAGTCAACAACTGGGGGGCTTGAGATCAGAAAAGGCTGCCATTTAACCTTACCAAATATTTGCTTTTAATTACCACTTTCTTTCAAGCATCAAGATCATGCTTTATTTGGCAACCATGGAGCAGGTTGCGCTAAAAGTGGCACGGGTGTTCATTCATGCTGAACAGGGTCCTCTTTCTATATGATTTTTGGCTGTTCTTTCCAGAACATAATGTTAGGCCCAGTCCTTGCCAGGGCAATGTGTTCTCAGACCAGTCCAGGCAGAAGAGTTACTTTTTAACTTTGCTCACACCATTTCCTTTCTCAACTGCCACCCTCTGACCTGATGCTGGACAACCAAATTTATTAAATGTTTCTGTGTTGTATATTTAAGTTATAATGCTTAGTATATGTCTATTCCTTTACATTATTTTGATGTTTATTCTGTTATTTATTTTTTATTTTATTTATTTATTGTATTTATACCCCGCTTATCTAGTCATTTCAACCACTCTAGGCGGCTATAATAATAATTATAACATTATAATTAATGTTGTTGATTATTGTTCTTATTTTTGCCCAGATTGGCCTTTGATGCCAGATAGGTGGTATAGAAATCAAATAAGTAAATGAAAAAATAATTTGTAGATGTGTACTGAAAATGGCAAGAATTAGACATTCAAAGTATTATCAGGCATAAATATCATACTTTAAGTAGTGATTGAAAAGTCAGTCCCAAATTTACTTGGCGATTTTATAAATCAAACTCCTTTTTTACTTTTTATTTTAAAAAGGAACTGAATCCCCTCTTTATGTATCACCAGGACTAACCTGGCAATGTTTCTAACATCCAAATTCCCTTTTTTAACATTCATATAAGAGAACACTTTGATTTCCTTCCCATTGCCAGAAGCTTTATAATGAATGTTTTCATGAAGCTGCCTCAAGCTTTTACCATTTATCGTTCCTTCAAGTTGAATCAGGTGCCAAACAGAACTCCTCTGTGGCTTATACATGTGGGGAAATTTGCATTTACAAACATGACAGTGCCTACACCTGAGTGTTTGTATAGGGGGCTGCCAAAAAAATGCCCTCAGAGATTTACCCGTCTCTGATACCTCAGTTCTGTGGCAGTCCCATTACTGTAATTGTTATAGTTGAGTTACCTGATCTGAGTGATGATACCAAGCACTTCAGCAGATCGCTCCCAGCCAAACAAACATCATGGACGTTGATATATAAGCACCAAAATGAAGTTGACATGGCTTTCCTGAGCCATGAGCAACTGCACCAAAGCTTCATTATATATATTTTAAGATTGGAAAGAAATACTGTAGAGAAATTATCTTGAGAAAATGTCTTCGGGTCTCCTAAAATACAGTATAGCATTGCCCTTTCAATTTCAAACCCATTTTTGTTATGACCTTCGGCAGTCCCCAGTGCTATTCTATTTATCAAGGACCATAAGGTAAGTTGCTCAAGGTGTTGGAATTTAATGCTCTTCACAAAGGCTGGAATCCTCTTTGGCCAGGGTGTGGGTGTGGCCACCTGTTGCACAAGTGATTGGGCTTTACCTTGCCTTACGCAAGAAGATATCTAGTACCCCTTGTGCAAGCACAGATTCTCTTTGTCATAAAAGGGCCATCCCTGGGTTGTA